TACTTTTATCTGACCTTTTCTTCTCTTAAAGATGAACGACGGAATTGGGGGGAGCCCAATAAAATTTTCTTCAGACTATTCGTCAGTGACGACCTGTGTATATGTGCACAAATTCTATCTATGTCAATGTATGAGTTGTTCAGAAAATAATTATACTAAGTGTGTGTGTGTATGTGTGTGTGCGTGTATGCACAGAATATATGCAAGAAGTAAAATATTAACATTGAATTATGTTGACTGAGTTTTTTATATTATACACACACACATTTGTGCAAACGATTACATTCATATATATATATATATATATATATATATATATATATATATATATATATATATATATGAGATACCGATATATAAATCTTGTGTGTCAAGAATTGGGAAATTGTTTGTCAAAGTAGAAAATATTTACTTGTAACGCGTTTCATCCTCCAGGACTTCATAACAAAATTAACCCTAAAGGACAAATAGCGTCACAATAAATTTTTCCCATTGTTGTTATGAAATTTACTATCTATCTATCTATCTATCTATCTATCTATCTATATACATCTATATATATATATATATATATATATATATATATATATATATATATATATATATATAAATAAATAATAATAAAGTTAATCGTTAGAGTTGAACTACACCAACAATTTATATTTATACTTCTTTCTTTCTTTCTTCCTTTCCTTCTTCTTCTTCTTTTTTTCTTTCTTCTTCTTCTTCTTCTTCTTTTATCTTTTGAAATGTGTGTGTGTGTATAATAATTTTGCTTTTACACACGCATATAGTTTCTGTAGGACCAATTATATATATATATATATATATATATATATATATATATATATATATATATATATATAATTTGCTTCTATGCACACATATCGTTTCTTTTTTAGTAATACCACACACACACACACACACATATATATATATATATATATATATATAAACAACTTCTTACACAGGAACACGTACACACATGCACACATACAGACAGGTACACAGATGCACGCATACAGACAGAAACACGCGCACACACACAGAGCTATATGTGCGCAGTTCCTCTATACATGAAAATATTGCTTGTAAAAATATATGTCAATTTTCTGACCGGAAATAGTTTCAATCGACTTCCGTCATCTTCAGCTCACGTACGTGATTGTTGAACATTAAACATGGCGTATTTCATCTATTTTGCATCTAGGTGAATGCATATGACATATTGGCCGGTATTATATTGCAAGGTTTTTAAATTTGTTTCTACTCTCGTCTATACTCAGTTCCAGAACTGAGCTCGAGAATAAGCCAAGTGTATATATATATATATATATATATATATATATATGTGTGTGTGTGTGTGTGTGTGTGTGTGTGTTTGCATATATATAAATGTGTGTGTATGTGTTGGTCTTTTGTGTCTACCAAATCCAATTTATTGGCGCCATTCTCGTCACATTTCAGATATTATAAATAGAAGCTTTCTGTCCTTCTCCAAAGACCATCCGGTTAGCACTTAAGCCAGGAAAAAGATACAAAATCACAATTTTTATATTTGCTTCTTTGTTCTTTCTTTCTGTGAGTGTATATGTGTGTGCATGTGTGTGTGTGTGTCCATGTGTATGTGTGTGTGCATGCGTATGTGTGTGTGCATGTGTATGTGTGAGTGTGAGTGAAATTGTGCGTGCAACTGTAAATAGAAACATCACGCTCTTTAGTATTACAGTTTGGGAATCGACATGCCTGTTTAGTTCAGACCATGACGAGTGATTTATTAAAATTTTCTAAATATGCAATTCTGCGAAGCTAATTACGTAGACCTTGTGTATTCTAATGATTTTCATTATTACTGTTACCTAGCGCCGCACGAACTTGGGTATAGGAAATAATTAAATAATTAGTCCGTGGTTGAGCTTCAAATGATGGCAAAACCCGGAATATTGATATCTGATTTACAATAATAACTATAAGTGCCACGCACGCCGGGGTGTATGCTGTCTTGCACCGCCATATTGTAGTTTCCCTGTAGCTAATCTATAAATATTTTCATTGTAATTATTCTTATTAGGTTTTATCATTCACACCTAGACTTTATTAATGTAAGCGGAGTACCAGCGACACGGTGTATTCATCTTAGAGATGAAATGGCAAGATGTAGCCCTAAGTTTTATGAAACAGTTTGTGCTTTTGCACTTCAAATATTGAAGTGCAATGCCAATGGTTAACTTCTGTCTTCTTACGTCCTGTTTTTTTTTTTGTTCTCACGGCTTAAAATTTTTTCTTTTTTTTTAATAATGACAGTAATGGTTAAATTCCTCGAAAAAAAATTCGGAATAAAAAAAAATTTAGACGGTTTATCGAGGATTTTTATGCGTGTGTGCAACAGTTCACTGCAAAAATATATGTACAATACAATGACAATTTGTTTTAATCCTTTCAGACCAAGACATTGGAGAATTACTGACGGTAAAATACAATAAAACTGGAAATATTTCAAGAAGACAGAAGATGGCGATTAATGTTGCATATAAATTATTGAAGACTTTAGATGATAAGCAAGCAAAAACCGGGAGACAATTCCAGATTCGAGAAGTGCGAAAAAAGAACCTATTAGAATACAACTTACGGTATTTACGTTATATCATATATATATGTCAATAACTCTCACGTATATATATATATATATATATATATATATATTTTTTATATATATATATATATGTATAAGCACGTACGAATACCCTGAAACATTGTCTTAAAAAGTGCCGCCGTAAAAAAAAATAAACCAGGGCTTTTTAATTTAAATTTTGATAAAAAATAATCTCACGGTTTCGGTGGCTATATCAACGGACCGCTCCCCCTGATTTTTAAAGTGCATATATTTTAAAAAGGCATATATATATATATATATATATATATATATATATATATATATATATATATATATATATATAGCGTTTTCCTTAAGATCTTCATGGCAGGGTATGATTACATGAACACAAACGATGGGAGCTTAATTTTAGAATATTTTTTTTATCTGCAATGAAATTTCTTTTTTTTTCTTAAGTATTTATTTCCGTTTGCTGTTATATATATAAATATATATATATATATATTTATATTATATATATATATATTTATTTATTTATTTATTTATTTTTATTTATATATATATATGTGTGTGTGTGTGTGTGTGTGTGTGTGTGTGTGTGTGTGTGTGTGTGTGTGTGTGTGTGTGTGTGAACGTGCGTGCATCATATCCGATACCGTCTTTTTTTTTTTTTTTGGTGAGGAAGGATAACCGACTGAGATGACAAAAGTTTGCAGACAGAAAGTCGTTGAATATTCATAATCTACAGATCCTACTGGTCTAAGCGCTAAAAGGTTAATGTTTTAATATTTTTAGATCTCAACTAGATCTAGACTATATATATACATATATATATATATATATATATATATATATATATATATATATATATATATATATATATATATATAGGGAAGGGAACATGCGTTCTCCTAAAGGTATCGAACTTGTGTCCTATACGGAACTGTGAATTAATATGAAGTGCTACAGAATCCACGTCTAGTTATCATGTTCAAATTACTGTTTTTATACAACAAATTTTCGACGATATTTCCCGAACGATCATATCTGCTCACAAATCTAACGTCGATATTGACAACATTTTATGAAATGCATTAATTCTGTAAATTATTTAATATTTTGTTTGTTTGTACGTTATTGTAATAGATACATTTCATTTAAGTAAATGTACTTTTTTTTTTAAATAAACAGTAATTAATGCTGTCTATTTAAAAAAAAAAAGATCATTTGGTGATTTTTTTGTAGGTCTTCAAGATTCAGAGCTGCTTTTTTAGAGCTCTCATGAAATAAAAATTATTACCTATGGGATTTCAAGTGTTTGATATTCTTTAATTAATAATAATTTTGCTCTGTCTTTTGACATACAACTCTCCTGGATCTCTCTCCTCTTGGAAATTACATACTTATTACCATATTGTATTATTTACTATATATATATATATATATATATATATATATATATATATATATATATGTGTCCATAAAGTCCTGTGCAGTTTAAAGTTATAAATTATTTAAAAGTGCACGAACTACAGACACCATGTATATATATATATATATATATATATATATATATAGGACACATAGTAATAATTTTCGATTTTATTTTCCCATTTAAAGTAGTCCCAATATGGATATTCCTGTTTCTTCTTCTTCCTCTAATGCCTATATTCCGCCAGGACGTGGGTAACCATTTTTTCGCCCTCTTAAACACTAATCTGCCAACCAATTATACATGGTTGTTAGGCAGATTCTTCACCACTCTTTTGCCTTTAGTATGTGTCATGAAATTCAGATTTTCCCTATTTCTTCAGTATGTATTCCGAAAATTTCGCTTTCTGATATGTATAAATGTTTTTGTGCTTCCATTTTCTTTAAGACTTCCTTGTTACTCACAAGTTCAGTCCCTGTCATCCTCATCATATTTCTGTAGAATTATGTTACAATTGTCTCAAGTTTCTTCTCCGTCTTTGTGGATGTTTTCACTGCCATATTAGTGCATCGATAGTACAAAATATTTCAGTCTTTTTTCTTTCTTTCTAAATGGTTTGTGGTATTTGACTTTTCCAGCATGTAAACTTTTATTTTCCATATAAAATAATATTTCTGTTATACGTTATTCACAGAATCGTTTTACTAATAATATCTGACTATTTAATTGTGTTTAATGTTATAATTCAAGAATTCTATCAGTAATTACAATATTTTACAGCTCGCTTTTTTCAGTAAATTTTTTTTCTATGTAGAATTACTACCCAACAATAAAAGATCTTATAAATTATTTGTCTTTTATCCAAAAACACAAATTTAAAATGAATCGTGATTAACAAAATATATGTTTATAGAAATGAATTATATTATTATATTATATCATTTTAACTTTTAGCTTTTGCTAGCAATCTAGAAATGTAAGAGAGTTATAAGAAAAGAAAGCCTTTATTGTTATGAGGAGATGATTAACCTTAAGTGTTATTTGAAAAAAGTGAAATGCGATGATACACGAACAAAATTGTCTTCAACCGAGTCTGGTCAAATGATTTCTATTATTATAATGCGTTTTCGTTCCGTTTTTTTTTATTTATATTTTTAACCGTATCCGTTTTTGCCTTTTTTATATTTCTGTTCTTTTTTCATTCATTTTTTTCGCTTGAAATAAAATTATTATTTTGATATGCGGCCGTTACCGACAATTTAATAAATAACAATGGCAGTCGGCCGTAATTAGAAGACTCACAATAGCATGATAGAAAAAATAATTCCAAAGAAAGAAAAGACAAGTGCACATTATTAGTTGCATTGATGTAGTAATTTTGAGAACAATGCTGCCATGCTAATTACAACGCTTTCAATGTTTCTCTTATAGTGTTCTCCGATCCTCAATGGGTGCCATTTCAAATACAATGTTAATAAATCTTTCCAAATATTTGTCTCTGTGGATGGTATGTGTAGTTAAAAGGAACGTAAACATCAGAATTTAGTCATTTGAGGTCCTAACCGTCGAAACGTCGACATAGAAAAATATTTGACATTTTGTTAGTAATTTTACAAATGTATTTACCACATTTTGGCACATATATATATATATATATATATATATATATATATATATATATATATATATATACTACGTGCGATAGATAAGTTGTCGTGTAAGTTACGCAAAAATAAAAATAATACTAACAACTCATTTTAACACACACACATATATATATATATTCATACACATACAAAAATATTTCACTGTATCAAAATTCCTCCAATTGCCAAGCCCGACCGAAGCTAACAGCATACGTTAGTGAAAGGGGTGTTTTAACTTATTATATACCCGATGTATACAAACGTCAGCAGCCATTAGCGCTCAATTTGTAACTGAATAGCAATGCTTTAATAGCAGGAACAGCGACTGTTTTTAAAATTTATCCTTTCTCTACAGTGCTCAATCGTATGTAACGAGCATTTTATATATATATATATATATATATATATATATATATATATATATATATATATATATATATGTGTGTGTGTGTGTGTGTAAGTATTTCTTACAGAGGGACCTGTTAATCTTGAATCGGATCTTTTAACCCTGTTCGGCTGCTATAAATTTCACTGTTTAGGAAAACAGTAATGAAGGATATCATGTGAAGCACATTTACCTACTACAAATGAAGCTTATCGCAATACTACTAATATCTATCTATCTATCTATCTATCTATCTATCTATCTATCTATCTATATATATATATATATATATATATATATATATATATATATATATATATATATATATTTGTGAATTTAGGCAGCAATCCTTCTTCCATGCACTTTTCATTGAATTGACAGACAAGGTTCTTTTATTTAGTTTTTTATACAATATTTCATACGATCTAATATTTTTTTTCTTTTCGGATGATAAATTATATGAAAAACTGTCCGAATGTTCTTTTTATCCGAGCGCTTTCGGCTATACATTTAGCCATTTTCAAGGATTAAATAACTTAATTGTTAAATAAGAAATAGTTTGTTGCATGTATATTTTATAAAATGTTTTCATTTTTCAAAACACGGTCATGACATTGTGTTCATGTTCAAAGTTATTATTATTAAGTGTTGTTTTTTCTTGTTTTTATTAATAAGGCGTCCATTATTTTTAGCCTTTTTTTTTGCATGTAGATGATGCTATTATATTAGTGTTGTCAACAAGTATGTTTCGAATAGTGTCCAGAAGGTCTCCATGAATATTTAAATGAGAGACCTAATTGATATATATATATATATATATATATATATATATATATATATATATATATATTTGAGTAGATGAATGTTTTGGACAGCAGTTTTTCGTTAGCCTAACAAATGTTGTTTAAAATTTACGGATATCTACTCAAATACGAATACCCTTAATAAATAATGTTTGAACTAACTAACATTAGGAAGTATTAATTTTTTAGAAATTATAGGGAATATCTAATCGAGTCAGTGTGATCTAAAAGGCAAAATAGAATCTTGCCTTATGGTGACGCTCTTCATAGTCGAGCGGTAAAAGCCCGTCAGATTAGACTGAGTCGGGTTACATTTTGTTTATGGAATTTTCTCAAGTACGCAAAGTGTGGGCTGAAGTGTTCAATATCAGGGATAGAGCATATTTCAATTCAAAGCGGACACTGAGATCAACAACCAACAGCTACAATCTGGCTTTCTTGCATAAACGTAATAGCCAAGCATTATATATATATATATATATATATATATATATATATATATATATATATATATATATATATATAAACAATAGGAAAACTGTAATTTGTCATTTATATTTATAAATATTATCTTTTCTACCAGTTAACTCTGAGAAAATTTTCATATATATATATATATATATATATATATATATATATATATTGAGGAAAATCACTTCGGTCGTGATCATAGTGTTCACTATTCCGCGCTGCATGTAATTGTGATTTTTCCCAGCCTGTAGAAAAGGCACATCGCCAGCACTACACTTATATGCTTACAAATTTATCAAATAATATTGTGACTTGTGTCTCGAGGTATGCATCTATACACAATTTCTTTTGTGATATTGGTGTGTGTTACAGTTTATGAACACCCAAATTTTTTGGTAATGACTGAAACTGCTCTGAAGGCAATATGTATTCAAATTGGCTCCAGATACGACAAACATATTTTAAACCTTGAACTTGATCTTCAACCAAATTTCTATAAATGGAAAATTACTGTCCAAATTCACACTATACAAACATCAACCAACACACACACACATATGCGTGCACCCCAACACACACACACACACACACACACACACACACACACACACACACATATATATATATATATATAAATTGTTCAGTTTTCTTTTGGACACGATTTTATATTTGTCATGAAATATATTTAGTATGTTTAATCCTAACATCGATAATTGCTTATGTGAGGTCCCACCCGTTTACTGTAGAGCTAAATGCAACTGCCTTTTCTACTCCTTCAGTTTTTTTTCTCGCACTTCCCATTATTGAAACTTCCGTCAAGCATGTAAGTGCAACGTCAATCGTCATCTTCTATCTTTTGTTCTTTTCTCAATCCTCCCTATATTCAGTCATTTCTTTCACTTCCACTCCCTGTAGCCACCTGCGTATTAATGGCATCTCCGTTCATTTATTTTTGTCCTTTTCTCAATCCTCCCTATACTTAGTTTTTTCTTTCAATTTCATTCCCTGTAACCCCCTGAGTGCTGGTGGCATTCCTGTTTTGCTTGGGGTGAAATGATTAAATACAATGAAACCAGACATCGGGAAAAGGGATATTTAATTTGCGCCAGAAACCAGGGAATATGACCGAAATATAGAAAAATCTAAACAAAGATTACTTAAAACCGAAAATCCGTTTGCCTTTAACCCAAAAACTTGAACTCGGTTATCCCTGCATAGTGTCTTAATATTTTGGGCGTAAAATCTCGTCATAGAGTGAATGGGTATATCACGCAGAACTTCCCGGCTCTTTTTCCGAGACAGAGGCTACAGTTACTGTAAGCCGCTTCTTATACAAATAAGCCCGTAATGCTTGAGTGAATGAAAAAAAGTAGATGTAAACAAACTCTATCCGCATTATATGTAGTATTGAAAAAGGAAGTGAGTTACCATCCCTGATGCAATATTACTTTCCTCGTTTTAAATTTGTAAGTTCCATGTCGAAATTATGCAGTATAGAATGTCTGGCTTTTTAAGATTAACGTAAAGTTTACATGGTTGTCATGACTGAAAAGCTCAGGGCCCCGTATGTTATGATATTTACTACTTTGTGTACAGTGAAGCAAATAAGCGGAAAGGCTTCATAACTTACAATGGTAAAAATCGCTCAACAACGCAATTTGGTCTAGGTGAATCACCCCAGAAACAATTCCTTTTACAAGTGATAAATTCTCAAAAGTCAGAAATAAATGTTTGGCAGTAAATGCGTGAAAAATCTGTCTGTAGATTCTTTGAGTTTTTTTTTTTTTATTATAAAGCATTGTTGTAAATATTTCGAGTTGAAAGAAAGGGGGAAGGGGGAAATTTTAAGAAAAAGCTTAAATCGAAATAGGCACCTACTGGCGATCAGAGACACTGACATTTTTTTCTCGAAACATTACATAAAATAAATATAGCACAAACGAATAAATACAAAATAAATAAAAAAAATAGGTAAAAAAAGAACAAAGTGCATTCAACAAAAAAAACAATAAAATAATAAACACATAAAAACCTAAAAAAAAAAGGCTGCATAAATATAAGAAAAAAAAAAAGAAAACATATCAAAAATAAAATCACAAAACTTTACAAACTGGGAAAAATAAAAAGAAAAGAAAAGAATGAATAACAGCAACAACAACAACACCAATAATAATAATAATAATAATAATAATAATAATAATAATAAGGACAATATTGTAAAAAAACGATAACAGCAATTGATCTTGTGGAGAACATCACATGCGCGCTCACACACACACACACATATATATATATATAAATATATATATATATACATATATAAATATATACATATATATACACACACACATATATATATATATACATATACATATATATACATATATAATATACATACACACACACACACATATATATATATATATATATATATATGTGTGTGTGTGTGTGTGTGTGTGTGTCTGTATGTATTTTAACATGTTTTGGTAAATTCGAATGCAAATATTTGTCAGTTTTCCTAATTTCTTTTTTGTATTTTTCAATTTCCTAATAATGAGTTTTCCATCGGAATCAAAATTGTACATAAACTGTTCGAAGTTCAACTTTTTCTCTTTTTTTCTTTTCCCAAAAAGATTTCGATCGGTACAGGGATTCCCACGAACTGGAAACTCTCA